CAGCAGCTGCTGCTGCTGCTGCATCTGCTGCAGTCCCTGCTGCTGCTGCTCTCGCTGCTGCTGCTGCTGCTTTAGGCAAGCCCAGCATTGCCCGCAGCACTTCTGAAGCTGCGTGGTGGTTGCTGCTGCAAGGAACTGCTGCGCATTCCTGCTGCTGCTGCTGCTGCGGCTGCTGCTGCTGCTGCTTCTGCTGCTGCTGCACGTTGCGGTGCAGCCGCTGCAGCTCCTGGGCGACGAATGCGCGCAGCAGCAGCAACAGCATCGAATGACCATTGGACCTCAGCAGCAGCCAGGCCGCTTGCTGCTGCTGCTGTTGCTGCTGCTGCTTTGCTGCAGCGAGCAGCAGCAGCAACACGTTCAGTGCTAAGCAGCGCGCTGCTGGAGGCAGCAACCCCCCCTGCTGCAGCAGCGCAACAGCAACCTCAATCCCGTCGACGCATGGACCCTGTGCTGCTGCTGCTGCCGCTGCTGCTGCTGCTGTTGCTGCTGCTGGTATTGCTGCTGGTATGCAGAACGCACTTGCTGCTGCAGCAGAAGCAGCAGCAGAAGCCGAGTCGCAAGCAGCAAAAGCTGAGTTTGTTTGGAACGGGTCAGGCTGCACAAGACTGCTGCTGCTGCTGCTGCTGCTGCTGCTGCTATGAAGCTGCAGCGCCTGGGGATAGCACTGCAGCAGCCGCTGCCACAGCAGCAGCAGCAGCGGCAAGAATGCAGCACCGGGAGCAGCTGAGTGCAGCAGCACCTGCTGCACCACCGCCTGCAAGTCAGCAGCAGCGCATGCATTCGGCAGCAAGCTCGTCAACTGCAGCAGCAGCAGGAACAGCAGCAAACTCGAAAGCAGCAAGGCCAGCAGCAACAGCAGCAGCAGCAACAGCAGCAGCAGCAACAGCAGCAGCAGCAACAGCAGCAGCAGCAACAGCAGCACAAGCAAAAAACACAGCAGCGCTGGCAGCAACCGCAGCACAGGTAAGCAACCAAAGGCACACGCCAAAACAGAACAGCAGCAGCAGCAGCAGCAGCAACAGCAACTGTAGCCTACATTGCACATGGCTAGAGGATCATTTACAACTTCTGCTGCAGCAGAGTGCTGCAGCAGCAGCAGCTGCTCGCTGCCGCGCCGAAGCAGGCTGCATGCAGCTCCTTCAGCAAGGCGAGCAGCAGCAGCAGCAGCAGCAGCAGCAGTAGCCGGTGCTGCTGCTGTTGATGGTGTTGAGTTAAGGCGCAGCAGCTGGCATTCTCCTGAAACTGTTCTGCTGCTGCTGCTGCTGCTGTTGCTGCTGCTGCTGTTGCTGCTGCTGCTGCTGCTGTCTCGGTGGGCTCCCAAGAAGTGGAGGTCCAGCAACTCCCAGCCCCATCCCTCCCCGCTGCTGCTGCTGCTGCTGCTGCTGCTGCTGCTGCAGGCAGCAGTTGCTGCTGCAGCACGCCGCCGCTGCATGCGCTGCAGCACAGCCAAGCGACGGAGGAGCTGCTGCAGTGCAGCAGGCGGCAAGGGAGGTCTCTGTACACCCCAATGCTGCTGCTGCTGCTGCTGTTGCTGCTGCTGCTGCTGCTGCTGCTGCTTGCCACCGCCGCCAACGCCCGGCGGCAGCCGAAGGAAGCTCTGATAACTCGGAACCGCCTGCTGCTGCTTTTGTTGCTGCTGCTGCTGCTGCTTCTGTTGCTGCTGCTGCTGCTGCTGCTGCTGCAGGTACAGCAGCAAGAGAGACTTCCAGTCATCCTGCAGCAGCTCCACATACACCCCGCCACAGAGGCCGCGCAGCAGCAGCAGACCTTCCCACTGCTGCTGCAGCAGCAGCAGCAAGGCCGAGAGATAGCTGCTGCTGTCCCTGAGCCGCTGCTGCTGCTGCTGTTGCAGAACTGCCTGCTGCAGTGCAGCAGCAAACAGACGCCATTTCATAGGAGCACTCCACCTGCTGCAGTGCGGCAGCAGCACCGCGCTGCTGCTGCTGCTGCTGCTGCTGCTGCTGTTGCTGCTGCTGCTGCATTCCCATCCTAGCAGCAGACGTTCCTCCGACGCTGCAGCCCATCTCCCTACGACGGGGCAAAGCGCGCCGCCCAAATCGCTGCTGCTGCTGCTGCTGCTGCTGCTGCTGTTGCTGCTGCTGCTGCTGTAGTGTAGTGGGGCGGCGGGCTGCTGCAGCTGCAGCAAAGCAGAGGGTGGGAGCAGCTGAAGCACCTGCAGCATAGCTTGTTGGTTGCTGTTGCTGCTGTTGCTGCTGCTGTTGCTGCTGCTGTTGTTGTTGCTGCTGCTGCTGTTGCTGCTGCAGTCAGCAGCAGGCTCACCACAGAGCAGCGCCAGCACATTCAGCAGCAGCGACTCCTCCGTCTGCTGCACTAGCTGCTGCTTACCCTGCAGCACCAGCAAGCTGCTGCTGCTGCTGCCAGGAGCAGCAGCAGCAGCAGCAAAGTCATCTGCTGCTGCTGTGTCTTGCTTCGCAGCAAGCTGCTGCCGCCGCTGCCGCCATTGCTGCAGTTGCTGCTGCTGCTGCTGCACTTCCTGCTGCTGTTCATCGCCTCGCTGCAGCAGCAGCAACAGCCGCAGCAGCAACGGCAGCAGCAGGCCAACACGAACAGCAACAGCAGCAACCTGCCTCCTGAGAGTCGCCGGCGCATGCAGCAGCAGCAGCTGCAGCAGCAGCAGCGCCTGCAGCAACAAAATGAAAGACAAGCAGCAACTTGCTGCTGCAGTGTCCAAGGCGCTCCCTCAAGACAGCAGCAACAGCCGCAGCAGCAACAGCCGCAGCAGCAACAGCAGCAGCAAAAACAACAACAGCAGCAGCAGCAGCAGCAGCTGAAGCACGCATGGAGTCTGCCATCGCCTGAGTGGCAGCACGAACCTCGAACAGCAGCAGCAGCAGAAGCATCAGCAGCAGCAGCAGCAGAAGCAGCAGCAGCAGCAGCAGCAGCAGGTTTACCCTGAGTCTGCATCTTTCGTCTGGGTGTTGGGTGAGATCTATGATTAGCCCCATGCTGCTGCTGCTGCTGCTGCATGCAGCAACGCCTCGCAGCAGCAGCAGCAACGGGTTGTGCTGCTTCTCCCCCAAGCAGCAGCAGCAGAGCTGCAGCACGGCGCAGACAATTTCAGCATCTGCTGCAGCTATGAAGCCTGGGCCAGCAGCAGCAGCAGCAGCAGCTGCTGCTGCTGCTGCAGCAGCAGCAGCATGTGTTTCTGCTGCTGCTGCTGTTACGGAGCCGAAACGGTGGCCTGCTGC